CCTGCAGAACTCACTCTAGCAGTAATTCCAGACTAGCAAACGGAAACACTTGACATTTAAAGGGTGAAACACATTCAATAATTCAGAGTTCCCACATGGTCAGAAGAACAAGATGAATTCACAATAAACACCCAACTCACTCCTGCTGCCTTTGTGGCCCCCTCATGGAATGCCCCCGAAGCCTGGTTAGCACTATTAACTTAAAGACTAAGTGATAATTGTCCCTGCATCCGCTCTGTCCTCACCAGGGTGGTATTGCTATTGACCTCCACTAATGATTTAGTGATTAAGGAGGACAAATTGCCTATGAATGCAAAGCAGGCTGAAGGGCTCCCAGGAATGGGCTGAACATTCTATAAGTGCTGTACGTGCTGGTGTGACTTTCAACCCAGGGTCCGCTGCCACTTGGACCTCACCAGCATCTTGCTCCTCCTGACTCTCTGTTGACAACTTCTGAGCACTGCTCCCCTTTCTTCTTTATATGTTCTACTTGGGCAAAGGCCCTACTCCTCCTTCAAACTACTTTCCAGCTACTCAATGGGGCCCTGGTTATGCATTAGTATACACAAGTAGAAAAAATGGTGATTCCTGGGCAGTTGTGTGTTTGGCTGTGTTAGTGGGGATCATCATCATATATATAGTCTTTCTCTTTTGGGTTATGCCTTGGGTACTAGGCTGCAAATTCACACAGACAGTGAAAAAAGATGAATTCTTTCTCTCACTTCATAAATATTCCTTGAGAGATATCAGTGTATATTAAGATAAGGAGATTAAAAGATTCCTTCTTAAAAACTGGGCACCAGACTTTTTCTGGAGGGAATTGTCTAAAAGTGTGAAGTTCCCAAAAGCATGATTATTGATAGAATACAAAACAATAATATTTGAAAATGAGCCCTTTTGCATTACTCCTGCGAGAGAATCAGAGAGGAGTTTGGAGAATAAGGAACATCATCAATAGTGGGAGAGAGAAGAGGTGGTAAGGTTGAGAGAGATCAGGATTAGGTTGRAGAAGAGGTATTGGATTTTAAGGAGAATAAATTGTACTCTCCTGTGTTTTGTCATTATTATTTTGTGATTATTATGTAAAACAACAGTTCTCTAAGTGGGGTTCTAGTAGCCTGAGGAAACTGGTTGGAAAGGCAAATTCTCAGGCCTGTCCCCAGACCTATTCAATCTAAGGGTGTTGCAAGGGAATCTGTCTTAGCAAATCCTACAGGTRATTCGGATGTCCTCTGGCTTTGAGAATCACTGAAAAAAATCCTTCCAGTTCTTACAATTATGTCCAACTGCAGTTAAGGTCTAGACATTCATGGGTATTTTGTGTGATGGTTTGACTGTTGCCAATGACATTGAGATTGAAGAAGGGTTGAGTATCTTA